ACTGTATTTTTATCACCATATATTAGCGGCCCTCAAAGACCAACTTTGAACATGCCAAAGCTAATGAGCTTAACTTTCGCCGGAGGGAGGCTGGACTTAACCTTCCAGATAGCTTGAGGACAAAAAATATCTATCAGCAAATAATAAAAAAGTTTCTTAAAAAAAAACAAAAAAAAACAACCCAAACTTAGGATCCAATGGTTTACCAGGAGATAGAGATATAGGAAACTGGTTGTTAATGGTTGTTTTTATTTTTTGCTGGTACGGAAGCTAGAAATCATAAAACAAGGTTGACAGAAACCAACGGCAGTAGTTATAATTAAGTAATTACCTGCTGTCATTTCTGATGTATAAGGTTAAGTTCTGACAGACAGGCAGAACAGGAAACTAAAAACAAAGAATTCATTCAGATCAAGAATGGATTTTAAGGATTCAAATTTCTAAGCAATCAGAGGAGATATAAGGATCAATCGGCATCTTAAATGTTCTTTATCTTTATCTGATTGTCCCCCGTGGCAGAATAAGAAACCCATGCAGAGTGCAGTCTTGGCTAGATGAAGCTTTTTGATAAAGAAAAAGAGGAATGCCTGGAAAAACCAACAGAAACATAGGCAGAGTGATGGATAAACTAGGAGCACACCAAGAGGCAGATAGAAACAGTAACAACCAAAACGGGAGAGAGTGAAGATAAAATTCATGAGTCTTTAACCCCGGTGTACCACACCTGATGTAAATAAGTGAGTTATTATCAGGCCGCTGCAGCCTGGAGCAGCTGAAAAGTCATGCAATCCTCTAAATCAGGTGAGCTAGAGCAGAGACTCATCTAAATCATGCAGCTTAGCAGAGCCTGAAGGCAACAGTGGCTCTGGCATGAACAGGTGAACGGAATTATGGAAATATTGAGCAATGAGGAGAATAAGACCAGAAACTAAGCAAGAGAGGGAATATGATCAACAAGGGGGAGAAATCCAACAGAAACTCCCTAAATACACAGATTGATAAAAGAAAGATGTATATATATATATATATACACTCACCGGCCACTTTATTAGGTACCCCATGCTAGTAACGGGTTGGACCCCCTTTTGCCTTCAGAACTGCCTAAATTCTTCGTGGCATAGATTCAACAAGGTGCTGGAAGCATTCCTCAGGGAGTTTGGTCCATATTATTGACATGATGGCATCACACAGTTGCCGCAGATTTGTCGGTTGCACATCCATGATGCGAATCTCCCGTTTCACCACATCCCAAAGATGCTCTATTGGATTGAGATCTGGTGACTGTGGAGGCCATTTGAGTACAGTGAACTCATTGTCATGTTCAAGAAACCAGTCTGAGATGATTCCAGCTTTATGACATGGTGCATTATCCTGCTGAAAGTAGCCATCAGACGTTGGGTACATTGTGGTCATAAAGGGATGGACATGGTCAGCAACAATACTCAGGTAGGCTGTGGCATTGCAACAATGCTCAATTGGTACCAAGGGGCCCAAAGAGTGCCAAGAAAATATTCCCCACACCATGACACCACCACCACCAGCCTGAACCGTTGATACAAGGCAGGATGGATCCATGCTTTCATGTTGTAGACGCCAAATTCTGACCCTACCATCCGAATGTCGCAGCAGAAATCGAGACTCATCAGACCAGGCAACGTTTTTCCAATCTTCTATTGTCCAATTTCGATGAGCTTGTGCAAATTGTAGCCTCAGTTTCCTGTTCTTAGCTGAAAGGAGTGGCACCCGGTGTGGTCTTCTGCTGCTGTAGCCCATCTGCCTCAAAGTCTGACGTACTGTGCGTTCAGAGATGCTCTTCTGCCCACCTTGGTTGTAACGGGTGGTTATTTGAGTCACTGTTGCCCTTCTATCAGCTCGAACCAGTCTGGCCATTCTCCTCTGACCTCTGGCATCAACAAGGCATTTCCGCCCACAGAACTGCCGCTCATTGGATGTTTTTCTTTTTCGGACCACTCTCTGTAAACCCTAGAGATGGTTGTGCGTGAAAATCCCAGTAGATCAGCAGTTTCTGAAATACTCAGACCAGCCCTTCTGGCACCAACAATCATGCCACGTTCAAAGTCACTCAAATCACCTTTCTTCCCCATACTGATGCTCGGTTTGAACTGCAGGAGATTGTCTTGACCATGTCTACATGCCTAAATGCACTGAGTTGCCGCCTTGTGATTGGCTGCTTAGAAATTAAGTGTTAACGAGCAGTTGGACAGGTGTACCTAATAAAGTGGCCGGTGAGTGTATATACACACATATATATATATATACACACACATATATATATATATATATACACATATATATATATATACATACATATTGTATGTATATATATATATATATATATACATACATAGGTTGTTTGGAACAGCAGTTTGTGCTGTATATATATACATATATATATATATATGTATATATATGTATATATATATATATATATATATATATATATATATATATATATATATATATATATATGTATGTATATATACAGCACAAACTGCTGTTCCAAACAACCTAGAAATTTGTTTTAAATAGCTATTTATAAGTTTTACTTAATTTTTGTCAGTCAAAGGAGGAGAAACTCCTGCAAATATCCGCAGCTTGACACTTAAAAATGCTTTAAAAAAGAAATTTAAAAGATTAAAGCATTTAATCTCTCACTCACTTTGGATTTTAAATGTTTAAGTTCAAGTAGGAAAAAAAAACTGATAAATTAACACAATGTTATTGTTTTTTATTTGTTAGGGCTGAAGAAGAAAGCCTTGTCTCTCCCAAAACAACATTGCATCACACCAAGTTTAAAAAGCTGCATCTAAATGAGGCAAAATATCTTGGGAGAAATGTCATTTGAACAGATGAGATCAAATTAAGGTGTTTTTTTGTTATAACCTCACATAACAAGACACTAGTGAGGGTTTACAGCTGCTTGAAATGTCCATAAAAACTGAAGGGGAAGCCTGGTGGAAGATGGGTGGGGGGGTTATTTTGACAGAGGTGTGGGTGGTGTGTGTGTCTGAGGAAATTACCCAAAACTTTGCTCTGTTAAAGAAGAAGAAGAGGGGGAAATCAACAGTGGGGGTGGGAGTTCATTTAGGGTTAACTTTATAGGGGCTGCTGACAAGCTGCTGAGCTCCAAGAGGGGAGGAGATGATGGAAATCCTGAGTTTTCTGTCAGCTTTGAGGGGAGAGAAAAGGTAAAGGGCATAGAGAGGAGGCAGCATCCCAGTGAGGGAGCATGTCAGCACTTGTTATAAAGGAGAAAGGAAGATTATTGACTTCAATGAAGCACCGCCTTCAAAATAAAAGCATTTGAAATCAAAACAGAAAAACAATCTTTACTTAGGAATTTGGATATTCCTGCAAATCTGGGTCCTCGTTGATTTTTATGTGTGAGAATAACAAAATTGTGTATTTTTTTTAAGGTTTGTGTCCATATATTTTCAGATCCAGATTTTTTTGTGTTAGAGACCATTTAGAAATTAGGAAAGCATGTATTTAAAAAAACCTGTCAGACAAACATGTGAGATGTAAGATCTTTTTCTGTTATGTTCAGCCAATAATTACTTAAATTCACTCATAACTGCTTTAAAATGTATTTTTGCCAAATCAAAGTTCCCTTCAAATGTCCTTTTTATCGATTATTCTTAAAAAAAACAAAACAAAAAAAAAAAACACATATTGGTTAACTGATAGAACACTATTGAAAACAAAATAAGAAAAAAAGTTACAAGGAGACAAATAATCAATTATGGCAAAAAAAAAGAAAATCCAGATCAGTCAGGACTTTGTTTCTTAACAATGTAAAATCCCATTCTTTATTTTCAAAGAGACATGTAAAGAGTCAGAAAAAAAACACATTTAAATTAAAAGCAACAATAAATAAAAACATAAATGGCATCATAATTGATTAGAAACTTGTCCAATGTCTCTCCTCGTTGACTCCTGGAGATCAGTAAACAATTAATACATTAAACACCTAAACAAACAAACAAACAAACACATTACTGAATAATTGAATAAATAAAGCAATAAGAAGTTAAGGCAACCTATGCGACAATGAAGAACAAAAAGTTTATTTACCAGTTGCAACTTTAAAAAGGCTATTTGAAACAAATTGCATTTTCCTTTCCATTTACAAATCAATCAACAACGATTTGAAAGAAACCAATGCAAAAAAAAAAAAAAAAATCCAGATCCCATTCTTTATTTTCAAAGAAACAAGTAACAAGTCAGAAAAACACATTTTAATTAAAACCAACAACAAATAAAAACAGAAATAGCATTATGATTGATTAGAAACTTCTCCAATGTGTGTCCCATTGACTCCTGGAGATCAGTAAACAATTAATAAATTAAATAAACACTTAGACCAACAAACACATCAGTAAATAACTGAATCCATAAAGAAATAAGGAGTTTGCTATTTGAAAAAAACTGCATTTCCTTTTCCATTTACAAATCAATCAACAGTGATTTAAAAGAAACCAATACAAAAACTCTCTCTCTCTCTCTCTCTCTGTCTATGTATAATTTAGTATATATCCTGTTGTCAGCCAAAACAAATATGAAATGCTTATGCTATCTACTAAAAGTACTAAAAGTGCAGTCAGTAGTATTAACTGCTTTTTCCTTGAGAATTTTACATGTTGTAGGTAGATAAATTATTGACTTGAGAATAAGCCTCAAATCACAAAATGATACCTTTACAAATAACCTCAAAATTCTATATATATATATATATATATATATATATATATATATATATATATATATATATATATATATATATATATATATATATATATATATATATATATATATATATATATATATATATATATATATATATATATATGAGCTTTCGTCTGCCTCTAATCCATTCCAATCTTCGGACGGACAGGAAGGTTTTTATTTTGAAGGGTTTAAGCGGAAGTGGAACACGCTCTGCTTACAGCCTTACTTTTATTTTGACGGTTTCACTGTAAGAAAAAGAGCTCCGCTACCCCGGCCAGCATCAGACCAGCTCAGTGCAGGCAGCGCATCACACCGGTGAGGTTTGGATGGGTCAGCTGACAATTAAACACGATACATCCCGGAACTCCTGACATGGAATGACGCCTCGGTTAGGCTCCCGCCAGCAGAAAGGACTTTATATCCATGTTTTGAGCCAATCCTCGGTTGGATTTTCTGGGACATTTAGTTCTCTCGGATGTCCACCTTTTCTGCACAGCAACATCCTCAGACATCACACACACGGATCTCCATTCCCATCAGGTAGATGGATGGATGGATGGATGGATGGATGGATGGATGGATGGATGGATGGATGGATGGATGGATGGATGGATGGATGGATGGATGGATGGATGGATGCTGTTGTAAAGCTGACAGCGCAAGGTTGCATCATCTCTCAGCTGTGGTCAAATTAAAACGAGCTGTCAGTTTGAACTGATTTCATATTTATCTTGTTCTATTTAGATTTTTCATCCCATTCTGTTCACAGCACCGATTAAACAGTTTTTACAGCAGGTTTGCAGCAGGTCAGCGCGCTCGTGCCATCGCTTTGTCAAAGACATGCCCAGACTTGTTTGATCCGGAATAGAAAATCAATTATACACCTACCCCACTCAAATTTAATAATCGTTACTAAATTGCAAGTAAAAGTGGTTAAAACTTTGTTTTTAATGATCTAAACACAAAAAATCACCATATTTCATTTAAGAAAATCTTTGAGAAATAAGCGGATTTAATGAGAGATGGCTAACTTCCACACAGTAGGGACATTTAGCTTCAGGAATAAACAAAATAACTGTTTAGATTTTACAGAATGACGCGCACTTCTTATATTACTCACTTGTCGTCGCGTGCGTGCATCCTCGTGCACGAATTTGTTTATAAACACAAGTCTCGTGCTTAGGGAGGGGAACGTCTGCTGCCCCCTGGCGGTAAATTGCTTGAATTGAGGTTAGCAGGTGAAACTGGGGAAAACAAGTTGGTCTAAAAATAGATCAGCTGGCTTATGAGTTTTTATTGCTTTGCTTTCACTTTTTGCTTAGATTTTAATTTGTTATTTGTATTTAAATCTTTTAATTTGTATTTCATAAAATTAAGAGTTGTGTTACTCTTAATCTATAATTAGATTAATTTGATCATTGTTATTATTTTCTAAAGACTTTTAGAAATGGACTTTGTTTGTAATTAAAAATACACTTATTTGCTTGTAAAATACATTTTTGTCTATATGGGTAAATTTTCATTTGATAATATGGGCATATTGCATGGATTATCAGTTATAGATTTAAGTCTGAGGATCTAATTTTTACATTTTTAGGCTTATAATGAAAGGAATTAAAAAAAATACCTTCAAAATCAATTACTAAAAGTCAATACTTATAATATCTTATAATAATCGCTAATCCCCTCTTGTTGTTATGGAAACGGTGCCTGAAATATTTGCTCTAATAACTTTGACGTGCTTAATAATACACATACATTAAAGAATCCTACATTAATAAATATGTGTGTAAAGCTGTTTTGCCTGTAAGACTGTAACAGTAACAGTTTAATGGTTACAACGGCTAATGAGCAAATCTACAAAACTAAATTGAAGTACTTCTACTAAATCAGTATAGGCCAGATAAATGGCAGTCTGGTTTAATTAATTTGCTAATGACTTTGTGTTATAAAATTCATTGAATACTGGTTAATAAATCTGTATATAATATTAATATATCTGTTTGTGTTTTATATTTGTCTTTTTGTTCTGTACGATTCAGGCTCCTGCTGAGATGGCCAGAGCAGAGACCATCGAGACTGTCGGAGAAAATGTGCTGCTTTGTCACAACACCTGCCGCATGGAGTTACCACCACCCCTCCATACCTACTCAGGCTCGTTTATTACCAGGGCCCCCAGAGGTGGCAGCAGAGTCACTGCCCCCAACCTCCAAAGCAGTCCCCATCATGTGGAGCAGACCCTCTCTGTGTCAAATCCGCCATCTCACCCCCATCAGGCAGGCCAAGATGAGGCCCAGACCCACCAGCAGTCACCTGCGTTATCGCCATCATCAGAACCCTCTTGCTGTCTGGTCAGGGACGAACGTAGTCGGCGAACAGCTTCATCCGACAATCTATCAGGAGAACAAACAGGTAGGAACCTGGCAATTACTCCATGTTTTTCTTTAGGGGGAGTTGTAAAGAAACTGTACAACAAGGTTGACAGAAACCAAGGAAAGTACTTATAATTGAGTTATAACCTGTCATCATGTCTGAGGTATGTGGTCTAGTTCTGACAAACAGGGAAAACAGGAAACCTCAAACCGAGACTTGATGGACAAGGCAAGCTAGGCACAAACATGTTCTATAATTCAGAGGGGAGCTGAAAAAGAGATTCACAGAGACATGGCTGAAGGCATTGCCTTTCATCATTAGAATATTTCTGATTTTATATGTAAATACCAAGGTGATGTTGGTAATTAAGATCTACTAAGGTCAGAGCTCCCGTAAAGGTTGCCAGTGTTAATGTGTCATAATACTCGTCAGAGTGTTTCAACTCCTGTCCTCAAAGTCAACACAACTGAGTTAGATAATCAGGTCATCGCAGCGCTCTGGAGAACCCGACTGCAATCCGAAGCAGGAACTCAGCCATTTAATTATAATGTGGAAATAGAGAAACATCAAACCTCAAATACAGGAATAAAATACCCCTGATATATGATGCATAAGTGTCTTTAAATCAGTCTGCTTTGTGGCAATTTGACAAGTGAAGTCAGATTTATTCATGGACATTATTAATACCTAGAAATGACCTTTTAGTGTTTACAGGTGTTGTTTGGGATTAGCCTTAGAGATGCAACAATCAGACTGATGCTGATATGTTGTCTTCTTTAAGTTTCTTTGTCTTCTTAAATATGTTTGTTTTAATTTAAGGTTTTTTTTTTTTTTTTTTTTTTTTAAACTGTCACACAAAAAAGGGAAAAATGTGATAGAGTAAGGGATTATTCAATTATTCTCTTTTCATAAAAAGCATTTGATTTAGTTGAGCTCAAAGCGCATGCAGTTCATAATCTCTGACTGACAGATGATTCTTAAATTAGTGTTTTAAATGAATTTAATTTAGTAGCAAATGGTGTATTAATAAAAGCAGAGTTTGACTAAGAATTTTTTTATTTATTTGCTGCACTGGTGGCTTGCGTTTTTAACAGTAGGCTGACAGGAAAGGGGGAATGAGAGAGGGGAAGAGACATGCAGGAAAGGTCGGATTCGAACCCGGGTTGGCGACGTCATGGACTAAAGCCTCCGTACATGGGTCGTGCGCGCCAACCGCTGCCCCACCTTTGCGCCCTCGACTTAGAATTTTAAACAACTATTCCAAAAAAAGAAAGTTAAAAACAATCCACTGGACTTTGCTTCCAAGTTTGAAGATGTTTCACTTCCCATCCAGGAAGCCTTTTCAATTCAAAATATCAGGAATAGTGTTGAGTTTGAGGTTTTATACAGTAGAAACTCAGAACTTGCTTTTGCTTTTGTTTTGAAAACATGCAAACATTTTCATGTTTTTTTAAAACAAAAGCAAGGTTTTGATGGGCAACTGTATAAAATTCCAAACTCAGCACTTTTCCTGATATTTTGAATTGAAAAAGCTTAGTGGATGGGAAGCGAAACGCCTTCAAACTTGGAAGAAAAGTCCAGTGGATTGTTTTTAACTTTCTTTTTTTTTTGGAATGACTATGACCTTAATGACTCTTCACCAGCATATTAAACAACTATCCCATGAAAAGTTTAGTGTCTAACTAGATACACTCTTGGTTTGAGCCATTTCAGATGTTGAGTCATTCAACTTTTGAATGATCATTCACTTGAACCCCCCTCCTTCCCTAAAAGGTTTGTCCCCGATTCTCTAAACTATCACTAGATTTTGATATCCATCGAGTTAGACTCCACTTGCTGGAAAGAAAAACCCAAACAACTACTCCTGTAAGTATATCAGCAACAGACTAAACGCTGGCAGTGCAAGGTCCACTTTACACATCCCTCAGTGAGGAGGAGTGACTGTTATAAACAGTGGGAAATATCAGATGTGACTCAAGCCCAGAGATCAGTTTGCATTTTGGACCTCCACCCTAAAGTAAAAACAAACGTTATCTGTTAGCAGGACAGTATCGGTTATATGGGAGTTACACTCAAGGCTTAATTTCTGTGGTCGGGGTTTGTTTGGGTAGTCTGACTGGATGAGGATGAAATGTACTCCAGTTGTCCAAAGATAAACGCGGGACCTCCCCCCCTCGTTGCCGAATGGACAGCTGTCATGAAACTAAACACAAAACTGCCCAGACTGGTTTTGTTTGCAAGACAGCATACATTTAAAGAGGGATTACTCATATGTGTTTAATTGTTAATCTAAATAGCATTAATCTCAAGGGAAAATCTTATTTGACGGGTGGTGGTGGGAAAAGAGCTGCTGGAGATCACTTTGCACGGAACGGCAATTCTGGGACCGAGTTTTAGCTAACATAAACAGACACCATGCACGCCTCACCCCCCTCCCTCAGCTGTTGGTCAGCTGTGCTGAGAGGCATGTTCAGACTTGTCCTCTGCAAGCTGACAGGAGGAAAGACTGCAGCATTTCCTCCTCTGCAGAGCATCAGCGATTCATCCAGTCAGACTGCATATTTCTTAATGGTTAGACTACAAATAGCTATAAAATACACAAATCAAACAGATGCTATAAGCAACTGGGTTTGTTTTCTGTGTGCGCAAATTTAGCCCACTTTAAAAAAAATGCATTGACTTTGACACATTTTTGAGTAAATGAAGACTGTCTGTTATTACTGAAATTATAAAGGGTAAGACTGATTCTGGAAATCTGGCAAATAGATCAACAGTGATGCAAATTAGACAAAATAAATTTATAAACAACTGCTAATTAAAAAACTAGCTGGCTACAATCTGGAAACACTTTATTTTCCTCACTACCAAAGGGATGAGGATTTTGGCTTAAAAATAGCTATTTAAATACATTAAAGAAATCAACACAATAAAAACCATACATCTCTAATAAATACAATGTCTGCAGTCTACTATTTTTATTATTTTAAGAAATTATTTTAATCACTAAATAACTACTTCTAGTAGCCTTGAATCAACTAAAGAGGACTCAGACTGATTAATAACTTCAATTCAAATAAGAATAACATGCTAAAGTCTGCATATCAATGCTTATCATCATAGGACATTTTTATACTTTTTGAAAATGTCTTATTTCTGCATAAATAAAGAACTTTAAAACAGCCATTGGTAAAAGATACACTATATTGCCAAAAGTATTTGCTCACCCATCCAAATTATTGGAATCAGGTGTTCCAATCACTTCCATGGCCACAGGTGTATAAATTCAAGCACCTAGGCATGCAGACTGTTTTTACAAACATTTGTGAAAGAATGGGTCGCTCTCAGGAGCTCAGTGAATTCCAGCGTGGAACTGTGATAGGATGCCACCTGTGCAACAAATCCAGTCGTGAAATTTCCTCGCTCCTAAATATTCCACAGTCAACTGTCAGCTGTATTATAAGAAAATGGAAGTGTTTGGGAACGACAGCAACTCAGCCACGAAGTGGTAGGCCACGTAAACTGACGGAGCGGGGTCAGCGGATGCTGACGCGCATAGTGCGAAGAGGTCGCCAACTTTCTGCAGAGTCAATCACTACAGACCTCCAAACTTCATGTGGCCTTCAGATTAGCTCAAGAACAGTGCGCAGAGAGCTTCATGGAATGGGTTTCCATGGTCGAGCAGCTGCATCCAAGCCATACATCACCAAGTGCAATGCAAAGCGTCGGATGCGGTGGTGTAAAGCACGCCGCCACTGGACTCTAGAGCAGTGGAGACGCGTTCTCTGGAGTGACGAATCGCGCTTCTCCATCTGGCAATCTGATGGACGGGTCTGGGTTTGGCGGTTGCCAGGAGAACGGTACTTGTCTGACTGCATTGTGCCAAGTGTAAAGTTTGTTGGAGGGGGGATTATGGTGTGGGGTTGTTTTTCAGGAGCTGGGCTTGGCCCCTTAGTTCCAGTGAAAGGAACTCTGAATGCTTCAGCATCCCAAGACATTTTGGACAATTCCATGCTCCCAACTTTGTGGGAACAGTTTGGAGCTGGCCCCTTCCTCTTCCAACATGACTGTGCACCAGTGCACAAAGCAAGGTCCATAAAGACATGGATGACAGAGTCTGGTGTGGATGAACTTGACTGGCCTGCACAGAGTCCTGACCTCAACCCGATAGAACACCTTTGGGATGAATTAGAGCGGAGACTGAGAGCCAGGCCTTCTCGTCCAACATCAGTGTGCAACCTCACAAATGCGCTTCTGGAAGAATGGTCAAAAATTCCCATAAACACACTCCTAAACCTTGTGGACAGCCTTCCCAGAAGAGTTGAAGCTGTTCTAGCTGCAAAGGGTGGACCGACGTCATATTGAACCCTATGGATTAGGAACGGGATGTCACTTAAGCTCATATGTGAGTCAAGGCAGGTGAGCAAATACTTTTGGCAATATAGTGTACCTCAAAGCTTTTCAAGAGGCCAGTACCTAATATTGAATGAATGAATGACTGAATTATTAATGAATGAATAGGAATGTATTTCAGACAATTTGACAAACAACAATAAATGAATCAACTAAATACACACAAACACACTGGTTAACATAAAACCAAACACCAATTTCCAAACTGACTAAATTCCCCTGAACATAAATAGAAATAAAACCATCCACCAAATAAACCTGTCAATATACAGGTGCTGGTCATAAAATTAGAATATCATGAAAAAGTAGATTGATTTCAGTAATTCCATTTAAAAAGTGAAACTTGTATATTATATTCATACATTACATACAAACTCATATATTTCAGATGTTTATTTTGTTTAATTTTGATGATTACAAATGACAACAAATGAAAATCTCAAATTCATCATATCAGAAAATTAGAATATTACTGAAGACCAATAAAAACAAAGGATTTATAGAAATGTTGGCCAACTGAAAAGTATGAACATGAAAAGTATGAGCATGTACAGCACTCAGTATTTAGTTGGGCCTCCTTTGTCCTGTATTACTGCAGCAATGCGGCGTGGCATGGAGTCGATCAGTCT